GCGCAGCCGCAGCGGGTGCACCACGGCGGCGTAGCGGTCCACGTTGATGAGGGTCAGGAAGATGCAGCTGCCGTACATGTTCATCTGGAAGATGGCGCCCGCCGTCTGGCACAGGAGGTCCGGGAAGGGCCAGTGGTGCAGCGCGTAGTAGGGCAGGCGCACGGGCAGCGACAGGGTGAAGAGCAGGTCGCTGGCCGCCAAGTTGCACATGTACACGCTCACCACGGAGTGCACGCGCAGCGCGCGCAGGAAGACCCAGAGGGCCAGCGCGTTGAGCGGGAGCGCCGCGAGGAGCACCAGGCTGTAGACCACCATGTGCAGGCGGTGGGTGGCCCGGTAGTCAGGGCACGGGAGATCCGAGCTGTTGGTAGAAGTGTTTGCTGAGGAGTTGGCCAACATCTTGCCAAAGTGTGCCGAGGAGCGAGCCTCGGGGCATCACGGGGCACACCAAGGTCCTGACAGGGCAATCATCTCCAGCACAGGGCCTGCAGGCTGCATGGAGACGGTCCCAAAGCCAGCAGAGGTAGGCCTTGAGAATGTGGGCTATGGCTGCCAGGGGGTGGGTGCCTTTGGTCAGGGCTTCATCATCCCGAGACCTGGAATAGGAAGGCAAACCAGAAGTCATCGTTATGCAAGGCCAGGGTGGAGGACACAGATGTTTATCTAGCTAAACTGGCTCACCTCTTGAATCTTTTCTCAGCCTCAAGCCTTTGCCCCACCTTCTGTCCTGCCAGAGTAGCTTTCTGCAGCAGGGCTGTATAGCAGTTCAGACCGCCTGGGTTTCTTTCTTTTTTAAAATATATTTTTATTGATTTCAGAGAGGAAGGGAGAGGAAGAGAGAGATAGAAACATCAATGATGGGAGGGAATCATTGCTTGGCTGCCTCCTGCACGCCCCCCACTGGGGACCGAGCCCACAACCCGGGCTTGTGCCCTTGACCAGAATCGAACCTGGGACCCTTGAGTCTGCAGACCGATGCTCCATCCACTGAGCCAAACCGGCTAGGGCAAGACTGCCTGGGTTTCAATCCTGGCTTTGCCAGTTCACCTAACTTTAGTTGTCAGAAAAATGACTTACTCTCTCTGAAGTTCATTTTCTTTACCTGGGGGTGGAATGAGGGTCGAGGAGTGGGGGTCATGAGGTTTTTAGATTAAATAAGACAATATATATAAAGTGTTTAGGCTTTCACAGACATGTTCGCAGCAGTGAACAAAAAGGCCTTGCCCCCAATTTACTTTCATTCCACTGGAGAGAAACAGGTAATAAAGTGCAAGTAAACAGGTGTCATGTCAGGTGGTGACAAGTGCTGTGGAGCACCTCCCCCGGAACAGGTGTTCTCCTGGTTCCCTTTTATCTAAAGAATAAAGTTCAAGCTCCCAAGTACAGTACAAAATTCCAGCCTCACTCCTCACACCCACTGTTGCTCCTGTGTGGGCTGGGCTTGCGCTCAGAGTGCCGTGAGTTTACCCTTGAGTTGACCTCTCTACGTTTCTTCACCTGTAAAGTGGGGATAATAATATAACAGGGTTCTCCTGGGCTGATCACACCCCAGCACAGCCCTGCAGGCAGGGCAAGGCTCTGTGGGTTGAGCTTTTCCCCTGGAGGATCTGACTAAGCAGCGGTCCCCAACCGGAGGTCCGCAGACCACTGGTGGTCCGTGAGGTCCGAAAGGTTGGCAACTGCTGGACTAGGGACATCCCTAGATGGGGTTCTGTGATAAGGAGAGATGGTTGTTTGTTAGTAAGAGACCCAAGGGGAGCCTAAGCCCAGAGAGCAGGGCAGTGAGGTGAGAAAGTACCATGGGTACTGATGAGACTGCTGGAGAGAGGCAACAGCTGGCCGACAAAGGATGGAGTTAAGAGGTGGAGTAGCCAGATGACAGGACATGGTCTCAGTATCCCACCTTCCTTAATGCCACGAGGCCACAGAAGCTACCCAGATGCCATCTATTTTATGTGTTTGTGGTGAAATATACATAATATTTACCCTTGTAACCATCTTGAAGTGTACAATTCAGTGGCATTAAGTACATTCACAATGTTGTGTAACCATCACCAGAACCTTTTCACCATCCCAAACAACAACTTTATACCCATTAAACAGTAACTGCCCATTCCACCACCACCCCTGCCCTCCAGCCACTGGTAACCTCTATTCTACTTTCTGTCTCTATGAATTTGCTCATTCCAGATAGCTCGCATGGGTGGAGTCATATAATATCTGTTCCTTTTGTGCCTGGCTTATTTCACTTAGCAAAAGTTTTCAAGGTCTATCCATGTTGTAGTATGTATCAAATTGCATTATTTGTTATGGCTGAATAATATATTCATATATATGTATATCACACTTTGTTTATTCATTCATCTGTCAATGGTTTCTTGGGTTTTTCTACCTGTGGGCTATTGTGAATAATGCTATGCATATGGGTGTCCACATGCCATCTTAGGGAGCAAAGTTGTGCGGACACCCTGAGCAATTATCCTAAGATACTGGACTTACTCCTTTCAAAAGGAACTGCTTGAATTCTTACATAAAACTAAATCGTAAACCTAACTGTAACAAGTTTTTCTGTGGGTTTTTGTTCATTTGTTCTCCCTCCAACCACTACTAACCGCAGTTTAAGACTTGTGAGAGGTGTAGGACAGTTAAAGGGAATAAAGAAACACTTCCTAGGATTAAAAAAAGGCGGCAGAGTAAGTGGATGCTGCATGGACATGCTCCCAGGAACAAACTGGTATTACAACTAAAATACAGAAAAACTTCCCGAGTAATCAACGAAAAACTCGCAGGAGAGAACCCTGATACCGGAGGACCAAAATTGGAGACCACATAGAGACCACTTTACTTTGTATATTGTAAATAAATAAAATAAATAAATAAAGAGTTTTTTTTAAAAAAAGAAAGAAACACTTCCTCTCCAAAATACCAGTTTCAACAGGGAGAGTAACACTAACTGGAGCTGAAAAGCAAATAAAACCAGGCTCTGTTCCTGACACATGCCCCATCTCCCATGCTCCTTTGCTCCAGCTACACCAAACTAATCATTTTGCACATACCTTATGTTTTCATGCTGTTTCCTCAACCTGGAAGGAGCCTCCTCCCATTCTCCAACTGACAGACTCAGTCATCTCTTAGGACTCCGTGCGGCCTGTCCTGACTCCCTCCCTACGAGGCAGATGTGGTCCCTCACTGGCACTTCCCCTGGGTGCGCAGGTCTATTTTTTTGTACTGTAATGAGCTGTTCTTTATCTGCACCTCCCACTCGACTGTGAGCTCCTTGAGGGAAGGGCCATGGACTGTGACTTACTCATCTTTGTATTGCCAGCACCTACGTCAATGTCAATAAATGTTGAGTGAAATAGCTGTCATTTACTGATTGTTCGCCACATCCTGGGGTATTTTATATGCACAATATTTAATCCTTCCAACAGCCCTTGGAGGTCGGTGTTTACCCTCATTTTTACAGGCAAGGAAACAGCTCAAGAGCTCCGTGAGGAGTGAAGTCAGGATTCAAACCCAGGACTTCCTGGCTCCAAAGTCCAAGCTGTTTGGTGCTACTTCCAATAAGAGTGGGTGGTTAGAGACGAGGATGGACGCTGCATAGCGCTCCCGGTCTTTTACAGATGCCGATGTGAAATCTGTGCCCACAGAGATATGGTTTTACTTCCTCATTTGTCTAATTGAAATATATACTTTTAAGTAATCTGCTTTCTTCTTCTCCCACTTCAAACATTGGTAACGTGGGCTCATCTGTCTTTCACACACACAAATAAGCCCCTCCTTACAATTTCCGCTCACCTACTTAAGCACTTACCTTGCTGCTTTGAACTCATCAGGCTGTACTGTGTCTATTGGTTCCATTTCCCCAACTAGATGGTAAGATCTTGGGATGGGACCACATCTTTCACTGCTTTTCTTCCCAAGTTTGTTCACACCTCAGTCTCTCTACTTAGCAGGCCCCTGTCCCCTCCCGCATTGTTTAACTATTTTGTAATTGTTATAACATATATCAAATCAGTTAGCTAACCACAACTAACCACTTCTTCTTCTTTTCTTTCTTTTTTTTTTTTACAAGTAACCACTTCTTATTATCACATTTCTGACTATCTTGTCCGCATGTATAACTCACTTAGTAAAAGACCATGCCCCTTAAAAGGCCTGTTTGGAAACAGGTTGCATTAAAATTTCAGTAACAGTTCACACTATAATTACTGTAACACTTTATCATTCTTAACCATTACTTGGGCAATCAATACTAATTATTTCCCCAAAATTGCAAGTCTTTCTGTTGATGAAGTTACATTGTTTAACAGACCAAAATGTATTACGTGAGCTGCTATTTAAAGGTAAAGTTAGGAACCCCTTAGCAAAACTGATGCTAATGCTCTTGCTCCAAAAGAAGGGTGTCCTTGGGTTTCTTTATAGTGGAACCTATTTGTCAAAAAGTCACCCCTTCCTGTCAGACTTACACAGAATGGCCCAAGCTGAGCGTTGAAAGCTGCCAGGCCCCTGCCCTGGTCCCCACCCCATCTGCCCGCTTCCCTGAGGCTCCCGTCAGTGGACCTGAATGGGCACAGTGCCAGGCCAGATGACAAGATGGAAAACTCTGCCAAAAAGGAGGCAAGCAGGAAATGGAAGGAGGGTTCTAGATGTGGGGAAGGGGCAGCCTGGCCCTCTCCCCACCCTGCCTTGCGGCAGAGGTTGGGTTGTAGGGGAGATGTTGGAAGTAAAGAAACAGCAGCCAACCCAGAAAAGAATGGACACGGGGTTTCATTTCACAGGGGAGGAGGGATATGACACGGAAGCCTGTATAGGCTCAGCCACCTCCACACACATGGATGTGGTAACATAAGATTCCCAGTAACCTGTCCCTCAGTGTGGCTGCACGCCCTGTAACTCACAAATGCATGAAGGCATGGACAGACGGCCCCAGGAGGAAGGGCAGACACAGCCCCTGCCTTAGGGACCGTGTCCTTGCGCCGACAGACAGAGCCAGGCAGCTTCAGGAGCACATACCTACACGGATGTGCACGAACAGATCCCAGCACCAAGGCACTGAAGGGCAAAGAAAGCACCAAACACAAAGAGGCACCAGGCGCTGTGCCATCCACATCACCTGCCCACCACACACTCACACCAGAGCGTGCGGCCACTTTCCTCCTCCCTGTGTCCCTGTCCTTCAGCCTCCCCTGTGCACCTCCAGACCCAGGTTCCTTCCTCGTGTCCTTAGGGCCTCTCAGACCTGTCCCATTGTCCTCTGAGCTGGCTGAGCAGTGCTCTTTGCTGAGATAAGCGGGAGGGACAGGGCTATTTTCTGCCACAGACAGGAAGTAAGACTGAGAGAGTAAAAGTGGGCAGGAGGCTAGATCATGATCATTCCCTCTCTCTGCTACACAGAACCCGCCAGCAGTACCCACCCTTCTGGCATCTGACCAACAGCACAGACAAGAGCTGAAGACAAATACGTGACTTGGGACAATGATGGAGGCAGGGACGGGAAAGAAATACTTCCTCTTGGTCCAGCTTTCTTCTCTGCTACCCTCTCCAGGCATTTCTCTCCTTTTCCCTCCCACACATTCATCAAATGCCTTGCTCTCTCTTCACCTCCTCTTTTTAGTAATTAATTCACATCTTTCAGAAGTTTGAAAAGAAGGAATCTCAGATATCCTCATCCTCCTTGCCCCAGGAGATCTGCTCTAGAATAACCCCAACCTCATTTTAGATTCTGAAGTCCCGGCCTGTCAGTGTGTCCCACCCGCTACACCAACCATGTCAAACTCAAAGGCTAACACGGGCCAAATAAACAAGGTTTAAGTTTATGTGGGCCACAAAAAAACAAAAGCTTCAATTTTCATAGAAACTTAGGTTTATTTCAATAGAGACATGCTAAATACAAAGGGCTGAAATAAATGAGTAATCGTTAAAATAAAATAATAGAACATTTTAATAAAAATTAATATTTTTTCTTGAACATTAACTTATCAGACACTGAATAACTGCGTAATGCAAATAAACCTATTCTTCTTGTTCTCCGAAAGCGAAATATTTCCTATTGCGCACACCAAACAAGTCAGTCCAAGACTAATGACGTGGCCATCAGCTGCTAAAATATTCCCTGCTGGTATTAGTGGAGAGAAATGGTGCGCCTGCGTCTAAAGGCGCGAAAGGGAAATGAATGCAACATGATTATAGTACTCAGTCATTATCGAACGTTGTAGTTTGTTATTAATAACTATATATAATAGGATCTAGTAAAAATTAAGTTACGAAATTTTTATTAAAACGTTTCTTACATACAGTTATATTGGCTGGGCCACAAAAATATTCGTTGTGGGCTGCATGCGGCCCGCAGGCTGCGAGTTTGACATGCTTGCGCTACCCAGTGTGTGCTCTAACCTGCCTTTGTCAGCTCAGCCCACTTCCTCTGGTGCTGGGCTCAGGCAGCACTGGGAGGATACACCCTGGCATGCAGCCGGCTTCATTACAAAGGCCTCTCCGTATCTGTATATTCAAACTCCCCACACGGATCCAAACTGCCGAGCCGCTGGGAGAAGCTTAACCCAGTCCAAAGGCTTCCTGAAAAGATCTGTCCCAGAGCTGCTTTAGGGACACGGATGAATCCTGCTCATCAGCTTGTCCTGGGTCTGAGGGCTCTGTGGTGTGGAGATAGTTCGAGGTTGCCAGGGTGAGTAGATGGCCTCATCCTCACTCAGGGACCACGTCCTTCCCAAGGACAGGCACCTCTCTGGCACAGACCCCAAGGGATTGTCCTGTCCCATCTCCATCCACTCTCCTCCTGGGTCCAGGCCTGCTCTGCTTGCTCCAGCCAAAATGCCTGCCCCCACACGGAGCCTGTCTCCTGCTGCCTTCTCAACATCATCCCCAGTCATGTCTTCTCCTGTCCCAGGTATTCTGACCTCATCTCGCCCATTTCTTTCTGGGAAAAGGCAGAAAGTAAAGGTGGCCGACAGCTCAATAATGAGTTTCCCCAATGTGGGGTGTCACCTCCCCACCTGCACATCTCCCTCCCCCCTGCTTTCAAGAGCTGGAAAAACAGGAAGTAAAGTCCCAATCAAGAGAAATCACTCAGAGGAGCTGTGGCGGCCCTGTGCTCTGAGTGTCTGCGTGCAGCTAACCTTGCTTGGCTCAGAGAGTCTCCTGCAGCCTTCCAGCCTTGTTGACCTCACCCTGAACTCCAGGCAGCACCATTGGCTTCTGCCCTCACCTTTCTACTGTCTCCTTCCCCTGGGCTTGTGTTGGGGTGTACACTGGGGGCAGCAGGGTGGGGAGAGCTGACAGCATCAGACACAGGCAGGCAGAGCTGGGCTCTAGTGCTCTGAGTGGCCAGGAGGTGAGGCTTACAGGATAAGATTCTGTTTCCCCCTCAATCCTTGCCTCCATCTCCTCTTAGGGCTACAATTTCAGCTCACCCTAAAAGGAGCTGGAGATACAATCAGGTGGGAGCTCCCCTTCTCTCAGGGAGGCCCCTATAAACACAGGTAATAGGGAGGCAGCTGCCCTCATTGATGTGAGACAAAGGTATCATAAGGCTTTGCCCACCCTCAAATATTTCCCCCACCTGTGCTCAATATCTGAAATTTCATCTCCTTCATGTCACCCGTGAGCCACATTCTAGCATCGCTACAGGGACATGAGAAATAATTTTGTCTAATCCTTTTATATAGATCAGTGGTTCTCAACCTTCCTAATGCCGAGACCCTTTAATACAGTTCCTCATGTTGTGGTGACCCCCAAACATAAAATTATTTTCATTGCTACCTCATAACTGTAATTTTGCTACTGTTATGAATCACAATGTAAATATCTGATATACAGGATGTATTTTCATTGTTATAAATTGAACATAATTAAAGCATAGTGATTAATCACAAAACAATATGTAATTATATATGTGTTTTCCGATGGTATTAGGCGACCCCTGTGAAAGGGTCGTTCGACCCCCAAAGGGGTCGCGACCCACAGGTTGAGAACCACTGATGTAGATGAACACATTGTGTTAAGGCTGTGTTTTTCAAAGACCCCATTACAATACCCCTTGGAGGCCTTTGCCGGGTAGGTCAGTTGGTTAGAGCATTGTCCTGATACACCAAGCTTACAGGTTCAATCTCCAGTCAGGATACATACAAGAATGCACCAATAAATAAGTGGAACAACAAATCAATGTATGTTTTTTTCTCTCTCCCCCTTCCTCTCTTTAAAATCAATATAGATAGATAGATAGATAGATAGATAGATAGATAGATAGATAGATAGAAAGAAAGAAAGAAATACTCCTTGGTTAATAGCCCTTGGTTAGCTAGGAAGAATAACCATAAGAACACCTTTGTGCCGTGAACCCATTCATGGAGTTTAATCAGATAAGTTTATTGTCACCTAGGAGAGGGCCTGGCCCTGGGAGGTGAGTGGGTATTAGGGGTTAAGTACTAGCTGAGGATGGGAAACCGTTGGAAATCAACCCCAGAGGACCCTCCTCATTGGTCTTGGGAAGCCTGGGCTCAGCATGACAGTGGGCCTAAGGGTGAAGGGGAGAACACAGCTTCCAAGATGCCCCCTTGTGGGGCTTCGAGCCTCAGAGGGGCACCCTAGGGTGTGTTCTGTCTGAGAAGGTCTCTCTGCCTGAGGCAGCCCCTTTAGCTTTTTCTCGATTCAAAAGGTTTTCTGGGGCCCGTGGCCCACCCTCACCTCCGCCCCTACCCGCATCCCCCATTTCTAAAAGTGGGGTGCCGCCCCTAATGCCCCCCATGAGGTTCAAGCCCACCTGTGACACCCCCGTACCTGTGCTCCGTCGAGCTCTGCCGCTGCCCCAAGCTGGCTTCCGCTGTCTGCTCTGCACTGGGCTGGGCTGGAAGGACCTGCTCCTGGGGCGGGTGGGGACACACCCACCTGGGCAGATCTCAACAGATTCCAGCTCTGTGCACTCACCCAACCCCGCACTCGCACTCCACTCGCGGGGAGAGAGAGGAGGAAGCAGTGCCTTCAGCGGTCTTCACAGACTGGCCAGAGAAGAAACCCCAGCAGATAATGGCACTTAGTCTAGCCCCAACTCTGGGCCAACTAATGACTTCCCCGCCCATCGCTCACAGACTCCCCACAGTTTCCGGGAAGCCTAACGGGCACACCCACCCCTGATTCGATGACTAATCACCAGCCTCTCGATTTTCTCTCCAGTTCCCTCTGGGTGTCTCTCTTTTGGATCCCTGCAGGTGGTTTTGCTCTTGCCACCTGTGGCTTTATCCCTCCCCCTGCCTCGGGCCCCTCTACGTGCCAGGGCTGCTGCTGGGCCCACTCTCACTGCAGAGTGTGCACAGCCTCTCCACCACAGCTGATACCAGGCTGGGCTGTTCCTCCTGGCTTCCTTCTCTTTCCTAGGCTGGGGGTTGGGGGGCCGGAGGGCTGGGGAGAGCTTAGACGACAGCCCCTCTTTTCTGTACCCTGGTCAAGACCCTTGTCTTCTCTATCAGCAGGGCTAGACATGTTGTCCATGCTCAATACACAAAAATAAGTTCAAGTTTTTGAGTGGTGAGTGAAAAAGGATATTGTGGTCAAGTGAGGTTGGAAAATGCTGGCTTAAACAGGTTTCTCTATTACAGGGCTTCTCAGAGCCTTGAACATGCCACTGAAAGATTGACCATCCTATCTAATAATCCTATCTACTAAAGAGGGAATATGCTAATTGACCCTCACACTGTTGCAAAGATGGCGGCACCCACAGCCAATAAAGAGGGAATATGCTAATTGACTGTCCCGCCCTCAAAGATGGCAGCACCTACAGCCAATAAGGAGGGAATACGCTAATTGACTGCCACACCCTCAAAGATGGAGGCGCCCACAGCCAATAAGGAGGGAATACGCTAATTGACTGCCACACCCTCAAAGATGGAGGCGCCCACAGCCAATAAGGAGGGAATACGCTAATTGACTGCCACACCCTCAAAGATGGAGGCGCCCACAGCCAATAAGGAGGGAATACGCTAATTGACTGCCACACCCTCAAAGATGGAGGCGCCCACAGCCAATAAGGAGGGAATACGCTAATTGACTGCCACACCCTCAAAGATGGAGGCGCCCACAGCCAATAAGGAGGGAATACGCTAATTGACTGCCACACCCTCAAAGATGGAGGCGCCCACAGCCAATAAGGAGGGAATACGCTAATTGACTGCCACACCCTCAAAGATGGAGGCGCCCACAGCCAATAAGGAGGGAATACGCTAATTGACTGCCACACCCTCAAAGATGGAGGCGCCCACAGCCAATAAGGAGGAAATACACTAATTGACTGCCACACCCTCAAAGATGGAGGCGCCCACAGCCAATAAGGAGGGAATACGCTAATTGACTGCCACACCCTCAAAGATGGCGGCACCCACAGCTACAAGATGGCCGGCAGGGGAGGGCAGTTGTGGGCAAGCAGGCCAACAGGAGAGGGCAGTTGGGGGCGATCGGGCTGGCAGGGGAGCAGTTAGGCGTTGATCAGGCTGGCAGGGAAGTGGTTAGGGACAACCAAGCAGGCAGGCAGGCAAGCGGTTGGGAGCCAGCAGTCCCGGATTGTGAGAGGGATGTCCGACTGCTAGTTTAGGCCGGGATCAGGCCTAAACCGGCAGTCAGACATCTCCCGAGGAGTCCCAGATTGGAGAAGGTGCAGGCTGGGCTGAGGGACATCCCCCGCCTGCACGAATTTCATGCACCGAGCCTCTAGTGTGTTCATTGAAGCTGGATGAAGCATAGAGGTGCATTATACTATTCCATTTGTGTGTATTTGTGTGTGTGAGAGAGAAACATCGATATGAGAGACATATTGATGGGTTGCCTCCCACACGTGCCTGACTGGGGCTGGAGATTGAGTCTGCAACCCAGCTACATGGCCTGACTGGGAATCAAGCCCAAGGCCCTTCAGTACTCTGGCCAACACTTCAACCACTGAGCAACACTGGCCAGGGGCATAGTTTTTTGTTTGTTTGTTTGTTTGTTTTTTTAATATTTTTTAATTGATTTTTTACAGAGAGGAAGGGAGAGAGATAGAGAGTTAGAAACATCGATGAGAGAGAAACATCGATCAGCTGCCTCCTGCACATCCCCCACTGGGGATGTGCCTGCAACCCAGGTACATGCCCCCGACCGGAATCGAACCTGGGACCCTTCAGTCCGCAGGCCGACGCTCCATCCACTGAGCCAAACCGGTTTCGGCTGTTTGTTTGTTTTTTAATGCTTTAATCACTGTAAACCTATAGAAGAGACTGTACAGTTTCCCAAACATGTGTGTCCCCAGAACATACTCTGGGATATCCCAAGTTATTAAAGGCCAATGCTGAAGTCACATCTCAAAGTATGTTGTCTAGACACAACCACTTCAATATTGAAGACCATCTGGCACATTACTAGATGTCAAATCAAAGATTTCCTGAGCTCCAGGCCCCAGATGTTTCCACCCTTAAAAAAATATTTTATATTTCAGAGAGGAAGGGAGAGGGGGCAATAGGAACATCATTCAGAGATGGAGAGAGATGAAGACACATGCCCTCCTGGCCCACAAGATCCCTGAGCCCCAGCCATGGTCTTCTTTAATCCAACTCCCTGATTTCCAGGGCCTCTTCTCCCAGCAGATGGCTGCTTCCCTGAGCATCATTCCCATGAGATTATCTCTCCTATAGATGGATCCATAAGCCCCTGGGCAAGGGGGGGGGCGAGTTGATCCCCATGGGGCACTGTGGCAGTGCTGAGGATAGGATCATAACCAACATGGGCCACATAGGTTGAAAATAAACACTTTATGCAAAGACATCCTTTAAGGCGGTTGGAGTTCCATCACTTTCAGGGACTCCTGCCCCGACCCAAGGAAAACGTGGGTAGGGACCAGGTAAGAGACACAAAAGGGGCAGCCTGGACGCAAACTGATGACCAATGGAGTAAGAGAGCAATGGAGAATGTGGACAGTCTGGGCTGGGGTGGAGACAGGGAGAATCCCAGCTCATCCGGCTTGGCCTAGAGTCAAGGTGCTAAACTCCTGGCTCCATCGAAGCACAAGGTCCTCGCTTCTGGCTGGGGTCAAGATATTGTAACTCTCGTTCTTCAGACATCTCATACGGGATATCTACACAGGGATCGGGTACACACACAATGTGAGTTACAGAGCAAGGAGCCAGCAGTGTGGAGGTGGGGAGGTGTCAGAAGTCCCACAAGAACCAGAGGCAGGCGGGCATGGGCACAGGGCAGTAGAGGGAAGGAAGAAACTCAGATGTGGGTTTTTCCCGCTGCAAGAGACACCAAGTGGCCCCTCCCCCTTTCAGAAATCAGGAGGCTGAGCCTGGGGGAGGAAGTGACTTATCCCAGACTTCTTGGTGAGTAAGAGCAGAAGGCAAGACTGCAACCTCAACATCTAGTTCCCAACCCAGGGGAGGTTCTTCCTGTGGTGCCCTCAGGGCCTTCACCTCTCTGCAGCATTCCTGCAGACACCTCTGGCTGGGGCGCCTTGCTTACTCCAAGGCTGGGGGCGTGGAGGAGAGCAAGTGCTCTGGTGGAGGCCTCTGCCCTGAGAGGCAAGTAGGAAACTGCTCTCCACATCCCAGCTGTGTGGAGCAGGGGGAAGGGGGTGGCCCAGAAAAGACACCCCACCAAGGTGACCGATTTAGAGGGGCTGATGGGAGGGGGGGGGGCGTGGTGACGAGCTCACCTTCTGATCCCGGTTTCTCATCAGACACTGTTGGCTTTTGAAGGCACAGTAGTTTGGGTACTGCACATAGTCTGTGTCACAAATCTAGGCCAGGAGCCAGGGATGGGGAGGCGGGGAGATATCAGAAGCCTTATGAGACACCAGCCCTCCAGAGAGTGCCCGCGGTGAAGGAACCAAGGGCAGGGGTGTGACCTTTCAGAACCAGACCTTCCACACTGGGGGTGTCCCTCTCTGAGGAAGAGGTCTTTGTCCCCTCTGCCTTTCCCATCCCACCCTCACTCATAGTTCAGTTAGTGGGAAGAAGCCAGGAGCCGGAGAGTGGGAAATGGCTTCCCTGCTGTTCAGTTGCTGGTAAAATGGCTGAGGAATGGGGAATGAGGAAGGGGGCACTAAGGGTGCAGAACACTGGAAGGGGGCCCATGAATGAACCAGCCTCAGGGAGCCTTCTAGTGATGGGCAAGTGAGGGAGAGGGTAGAACAATCTAATGTGGGACCTCGGCTGAATCACTTTCCTCTGTGGACCTCGCCTCCCCATCTCTAAACCCAGGGGTGCAGCAGAGATGACCTCTGAGACCTCTTCCAGATCTAGGGGCCCAGGGAGGAGGTCTGGGCAGGGGCCCCTCAGCTCAGTGACTAGCCTTTTCTTAAGCTGCCCCTACTTTTCATTGTCTTGATTTCCCCTGTTAAATCACAGAAAGGAGGGGTCTGGCTCTCAGGTACAACAGGTAGCTCCACAGAGGAGGTAACTCTGGGGAGAGGGGGAACAATAATGCCATTGGACAGGAAAGGCACTGGAAGAGTTAGGGAAGGAGGCTGTCAGGGAAGGACTGGATCAGGGGAGGGGTGGCCCTTCACCCATCACCTAGTCATTTGTTGTAGGGATGAGTATAACTTTGGCCTAGAGTGGGAAGTAACCTGACCAAAGCCCCTTGGCAGGTAACTGGCAGAGCTGGGACCAGAAGCTCTGTCTCCTGCCTCAGGGTCCTGTGCTTGCTCTCCCACCCCTCCCAAATCCTACCTTCTTTGCCAAACGCAATCCTGCTCTATTGTGTGTGTGTGTGTGTGTGTGTGTGGTCTACTAAAGAGAGGCAGCTGGTTTAATGAGGACTGGATCTCAGAAGCCAGGGGCCCAAGTCCCCTTCCACACCCTAGGGCTGCCTGGAGCAAATAACCAGCAGGAATTGGGGGGAGTGAGGTGGGGTTCAGCTTTGGGGAAAGGCTCTGACCTTGGTGGGGAAATCCCCATCCTGGAAGCTAAGGAACTCAGCCTGGAGCCAGCCAGCTACTCGAGTATCTTCACAGCCCTTCGTGGCTAGCAGGGCACACCAGAAATCCATGCGAAGCCCTCCATAAATATCCAGCCCGTAATAGCGGCTCGATTTTACATTCCCCATCTGTAGCAGAGGGGACAGGGGAGAGGTGTGAACCCCTGCGCCCCCTGCAGGTCTCCCTTCCGGATAGAGGTCCAGAGCCTGAGGCCTCCCCCACTGAGGCTGCCCAGCTGGCTAGGTACCTGGATGCCGATGGCCATGCTCTGGGATGAGAGAAAGGGGCTCATGAAGGGTGTTTTGTGGGAACCGTCACACTTCTGCCGCTGCAGGTTGGACTCCGAGTGGCACTGCTCCAGCTTCAGGGAGCAGAAGGCACAGAGGGGACAGATAGCTAGGTGGTGCCGCCCAAGGCTGTCACAGACCTAAGGCAGGAATGTGGTTAAGAGGCTGAGGCTGAGACTGTCCCACACCTCGGCCCTCCAGAGCAGTTCCCACAATGTCTTTGCATCCAGGCTCTTCCAAAAGCTTTTCTCCCTGCTCCCCTCCCCAAGGGTTCCTCAAGGACCTCGCCTCCGCACTCTATTTCTTCACCCTCTTCCTGGATGATTTCTCTACTCCCAGGTAATCTTCATCTCTCTGCAAGGGACACCCAGATCTTCATCATCCGTTCTGATCTCTTTCCCAAGCTCCACATCCTCACTTGCCAGGTGCCTGACAGCTGCCCACCCTCGGGTGACCTACAACCACCTCTCCCCTAGACTATCTGAATAGATCTCCTAACTTTCCCCTTTTCTCTCTCTTTTCTAATGATAGTGCTAATAGTTGACCCAGGGCTAAGCACCGTGGATATAAATGCTATCATCTCATTTAGTCTCACAGGAGCCCTGCACATTAGCCCTCATAATATCTCCATTTGACTGACAAGGAAACAAGCTCAGTGAGGCTAACTTGCTCGAAACCATATGCCTTATAAATGGTGGAGTTGAGACATAGATCTAGTCCTTCTAACTTCAAAACCTATACTCTACTTAGGTTTAAACCTCCAAGTTCCTGGAAGACATTCTTTAGAGTGGAGCTCCCCATCTCCTAGCTAGGTTCTTTGCCCCGAGTCCCTCGGTCTCCTCAGGAAATCTGCAGTCAATCCCAGCCTTCTCCTTCTCCACCCATGGGTCCAGCACATCACAGGTGCAAAAAATCTCCTTGTTCACTCCGCACAACAGCTCATAAGGGAGGAATAGTCATGTCTCTCACCAAAAATGGTTAGTTACTAAGTTCCTTTTTCCTACCCAATTAAATACAAATGCTTCAGACTGCCACCTGGGATTTTTCACATTGTGACCCTTACTATTTCTCTGACTCTATCCCTTACTGCTTTGCTCCAGGCAAAATGGGCTCCTTACCGTTCCCTTGCCCAAGCCCTAAAATCCAGTGGGCTCTCCATGACTCCTGGACTTCCTACACTTAGAAACCTCTCTCCAACACCTACCATACTCCTTTTGTAATGCTGCTGAGTCCCCCGTGGGCTCCAGGTACTTTAAGGGCAGGAGCAATATGTTCATTCTTGGTCTGTCCCTCATGAAACCTCTTTCTTGCCTCACAGATTTTGCACATGCTATTCCCTCTAGCAGGAAGCTTCTACCAAGTCCTTTCTTTGGCTGGGTTAACTTCCTTTCTCTTCAGGTTTCAGTGTAAACGTCAGTTCCTCTAAGAAGCATTTTCTGATCTTCCCAAACACAGACAGTTGTCCCCTTCCGCTCTCTCTACACTTTGTATTTATCCATCACAGCGTTTCTCCTGTCACACTGTTCTGCCTGTTTCCTCATCTGCCTCTCCCACTAGGACTTCAAGAGCCCCCACGATAATTAGATCTATTGTGCTCATCGTTAATATCTCAAATACCTGTTCAGAGTTGGTGACCAATCAATATTTGTTGAACAAATGGATGAATAAATGGCATACCAACTCCCAACAGATGTTTGCTAACTTGTTTTATTTAAAAACCTAAAGGATATTTTCCTGGGAATAGGACTTGCTGGGTGGTGAGGACACATCGAGACTGGAATTTCTCTACAGATCCCTGGAATGGGTTCTATGCCCGCTTTGGAAAGGAGAGCTGCATCTAAGGTAAAGCCAAGGTTTGAAGATGGTGAACTAGATCAGGAGATGACTCAAGCCTAACAACTCAGAGAGCTGAAGAATGAATTCTGGCTCTAGCCGGTTTGGCTCAGTGGACAAAGCGTCGGCCTGCGGACTGAAGGGTCCCTGGTTTGATTCTGGTCAAGGGCACATTCCTGGGTTGTGGGCTCAGTCCCCAGTAGGGGGCCTGCAGGAGGCAGCTGATCAATGATTCTCTCATCATTGATGTTTCAATCTCTCTCTCCCTCTCCCTTCTTCTCTGAAATCAATAAAAATATATTTTTTTAAAAAGAATGAATTCTGAATTGGAATGGATTCCAGACTAGTCTTGAGCCTTCCTCCTTTAAGGTGAGCTGGAGATGTCCTTCCAAAGAAGGGATTCCCACTTGAAGAGGACCTCTCCAGTGATGCCTCATGCTGTCTGTATCCCTGCCCATCCCCCACTCCCAAGGCCTAATAGTGCCAGGCCCAGAGGATGCCCAGTGAGCAAGTATCCATTAAACAGCATGCTGGGCCTACCGACTTCCCGAAACCAAGGATCTCATCCTCCAAGTGCCGCCAGGCCCTGGCTGTGGGGGTCATGATGCAGGTGTTCTCCACAATGGAATAGCACATCACCAGTAAGGCCTCCTCATGGGGCAGCTGCAAGAGGCTGCAAGGAGACAGACCTGGTTGGTGGGGAAGAAAGCTACATCCTTTCTCTTTCCTTTCCCTCAGACTCTGTTCTTGGTCACACACATTCAGCATGCTGGATGGGGCCTTAGAGGCCTCTGGACCAACTGCCTCCTTTTAAAAATGAGGAACTGAGGTCCAGAAAGGGGAAGTAACTTCCTCAAAATTGCAGTGTTTATCAAGGCCATAAACAAGACCGGAACTCAAGCCTGGTAGTTCCAGGTATAAGGAAACAGGCATCTAAGGCAGGACTTAAACCAATGATGGCCACAGAACAGGTGAGGCAGGCAGTTACTAGGTGCGCCTGAAGCCCAAGCAGGTCTGAGTGGGTCTGGAGGTCAAAGTTGGAAAGTGGGCTTCTCATTCCCAAAGAAGGCAGCAGGAAAGGTAGGAGGAAAGGCAGCAGGAAAGGTAGGAGGAAAGGCACCAGGAAAGGTACAGGAGTCAGAATTTCCTGTACCTGCCAGAGTTTTGGCTTCTCCAAGCAGAGTCTTCATCAAACACCCCACTCATTTCATCCATTTCCTGGGCAGGTTGACTGAGCTCCTGGATGTTCTCCACCATCATAGGCGTAGACTTCACTTCCCGCACCCGGGCAGCGAAGGACAAAGGGTTGGAAGATAAACCAGCCTGGTGCTTGGGCTCTGAGTCCGTCTGCAGCCCATACATGGCATGCAGTCTCTCCCTTGTCCCCTGTCCTTCCTCCTGCTTCCCCTCCCCCTCCTCTTCCTCTTCCTCCTCCTCCTCCTCTTCTTCCTCCTCCTCCTCTTCCTCCTCTTCCTCCTCCTCCTCCTCCTGTTTCTCCTGCTCCTGCTCTCCCTCCTGTTTATGTTTTTGTCCTTGCTCCTGTTGTTGCTCCTGCCTTTGACCCTGCTTGTGGCCCGACACTCGCTCTGGGCCTCCCAGGGACATGGAGGCTTGCAGCAGCTCCTCCACATTGTTCTTGAGCAGTTCGGGCCAGGGCTGGAAGGCCTGCCGTTCTGTGGCTGCAGCAGGGTTTGGGAGGGACCAGGAAAGAGAAGGAGAGGAACAGTCAGCTTTCTGGCCTCTGAATGTTTTTGTTCAGAGACACACACACATAAACACCAAGGCAGAAGAAAGCAGCCTCAATCCAAATTATTCACACAGTCAGGTATAGATGACACAGAAAAGAATACAAATATCAAAATAACATTACCATGGCGATGGTGGAGTTGGTGGTATGCCACCTTTCCACCTCCCTACCAGTGCCCCTCTTAACTGCCACCTCAAACTCCACCTGTTGTTTCTCTCACTTAGGAACTAGCACATATTCTGAATAGTTGGCAGCTAATCCTTTCTAGACTGAAGATGTTAGCTTACAAAAGTCCCAGGGATGTTTTGGGGAGCTAGGAAAAATGGAGTCGGGGCAGCCTTGGAAGTAATGCCAGAAGATATTCTGGGACAGGACAGCTCTAACTTGTATTCCTAAAAAGCAGATTCCCCATTATGTAAAGAGCTGCCTATGTCCATCACCCACCCTTGCTCAACATTCTTTCCATATCCCTACCACCCAGTCTCCTCAGTTGGGAGGGTCTCACCTGTGTTGTGGGATGGCACGGGGGAGGTCATGGTGGAGGGCTGTGCTTCAGTAGAAGAGTCTGTCTCCTGGTCAGCGTTAGGTGAGAGAATTGGGACTGGCTGGGAGCATCGGACCCTCTGCAAGAAGAGAAGGGATGTGGGAATGCCTTTCCCAAAGGAATGCCTTACCCCAACTTACTCCTCAGTCCCTCTCCCAGCTGCCTCGCTCACAGCTCCTGGGCAGGGACGAAGGCACAGGGTCCCTGGTGGAACCCTCCAGACCTGAGAAAGGGTTCCCCTGAAAGATAAAACTCCATGTCTTGGACACAACCCTGCCTTTGGTCTTTAATGTTTGATTCGAGTGACTCACTGACTGTTAGAAGAAATGGAAGGGCTTATCTTTTTGCCTCTCCCCTCCTTTTCTTACAGTTATCAGGAGTGTTCTGACCGCCTGAATGCCCAAAGGGAGTCTGCATTCATACATAATCTGGGTAAATGATTGGCCAAGTGGCAGGGAAGAAAGCCCTACGGATGGCCCTCCTCAGCTCCTTACTGCCACTGCCCCTCCCTTTGTCCTGCGCCACCAGATCCATCTTTGTCCTGGGACTCACCTTGGCGTAGTAGACATGGTTGGAGCAACGGTACTGAGTAAACTGGCAGAAGGACTCGAACCAGGAGGCGTAAGGGAGGTCGGAGCACACAGCACCTGGGCAGGGCAGGGGTGCAGACGGTGAACACACGAGGGGGACCTCCCTCCTGAGGGCGGTGGGCGCCTTGGGTCTGGAGGGTGGAGACGACGGGCCCAGGGCCAGAGGCCGGCCAGACCCGCCCGTCTCCAGCGAGCACAGATCTGCCCCGGGAGGCGGGCCCTCACCGTCGGGCACCAAGCCGTGGTTCTCATACTGGTCCAGCTGGACCAGGGTGGGGTTCCGGCAGCCGTGGGTGGCTCTCAGACGGCAGGTAGTCTCTGCCTTCCAGGTGGGGGTCAGCAGTGCGAAGAAGCGCTCGTATTCGGCGGGAGAGAGGGGGCTCCCGGGCGTGGAGGTCGGAACGGAATCCTCGCCGCCGCCGCGGCCGCGGCCAGGGGCAGCTGAAGGCAAGAGCAGCACTGCTGGCAG